TTGTTGCAACTGTGCATTAAGCATCTTCCATTTGTATAAATATCCCTTATTTGCTAACTGGTCAAAGCGGTGACTATTTCTGTATCCAAGTAGTCCCTAAAAACCCCACAGTCTCACTGAAGTCCACTGGAGGTTCAAATGTCAATGAGTTCCCTTATGACAGGAAACATGACAGGGCTGATTGCAAGACTGGACAGTGGAACAGCTGGTACCGTGAGTATTTGCCCCGCAGCTACCCAGACGGAAAAAACGATGTATTTTACACTGAAGTCACACAGTTTCAGATTTCCATCCTTAATATGCCCAAATACTGCCCTGAAAGATGTGAGCCCTACAGCAGCCCTTCAACCTGCACGTTGAGGTTTATCTACTGAACTGGCAGTAACTGACACTTTACATTCTCAGTACAAGAAAAATGAGGTTTCAATTCTAGGTAAACTGATTTGAATCTAGGAATATTACCCTGATTTGCCAGCAGCTCTCTTTAAAGTGTAAATTCATTCTGGCTCAAAACATTCTTCTGACATATTACTGATGCCATCATTTCTGGGACAGAATCGATTAAATTTGATACATTCCAGAGTAAAACATTGTAATTTTTCATCCTAAGTAGTCACCTACAACTCGTTCCTGACAAGAAGAAACCAGAAACTTGTATTTCATAAGCCTACAAAAGAACTGGTGATAAACTTTCAAATGGTGTTGAACCAGCACACTGTGTGGTCTGAAACTTTATACAGCTTATTTATGAAGTATGATGGTTATTAGTGGTTACAAATATTTTACACCTTAAAAGGACATATATAAAAAATGAATCCCAATGTATTAAAACTTCTAGGATAATATGCCAAAAAACTCCAAGATTTTTCATGCAAATGCCCAAAACCTTCACAAAAAAGCATGTAGGCACTCCTTTTACTCATGCAAAGTCCCTGATCAAAGAGAACCATCCACTATAATCAAAGACTTTACTCAAAATGAGACTACACTAATTTTAAGGCACATCAAGTGTTGTGTCAACGCTTTGGCCAGTGTTCTTTTAAGTAACTGTAAATAAAACTGCATACTCAAACTCACTGACTAAACTCCAAAAACAGCTGGGGTCTGATCTATCTCAGACTTGCCAAAGCGCTTACTCCAATGTCCTTGTGTTACACTGAGCTGGAAATCTCATAGCGGAAAAACACCAGAACCCTCCTCTCTGTGGAAAAAAAAAAATAAAAAAAAAAAGGAAGTATCTTTTAATTTCAGAACATGAAATGTGGGTGTAAGATAAAGCAATGATACAACTATCTCCCTCCACAGACGACCAGAAACTAAATGTTAAAGTGCATTGCAACATACAGCAAAATATTCTTTAATCTCTCTGTGGAGAGGGAAAACAAGAAGAAAAGGAAGTAGGAGGAAAAAAACCAGAAGAAAAAAAAAACGGAGAGAAGACTTATTAACTGAGATCTAGTCTGCCATATTAAGAATAACAGAACCCACATGATGTTTATTGCTAATCCTTGAGAACCGAGGCCTAAGTACTAGTGAGCTGAACGACAGAAAATGCCACTCTCCAAAATCATTTCTAACTTTCTCTTTAAAAAGGCCTGGCACAAATGCCTTATTACTTTCAGCTCTTAAAAAAACTCGAGCCTCAATCCAGTTAGGTAGTATAATGCCGCTGTATTTATTTACTGCTGTCATTCTCAGACACAAGAAATCACACCAAATCAAACCTGCAAAAGCCTGTTCCAAGCCAAACTTCCTTTAAATAATACATTCAAGAGTATCAAGTGCCACATGAACAATTCCTGTTGCGCTACATAAGCTTGGCAAGTGTGGTCCAGGGCCACGTTCACCGTGAACCCCAGTATCCAAGTCCCCCGCATGGCAGCAGTTTCCAATCCCACTTCCTCTCACGATAAGCCTGGGAGCGCAGCTGAGAGAGACCTTCCCCCCCAATGACATCTTTCCAGAAAGTCCAGCAGGAACAATGACAACCAGAAGGGCAGAGGAACCAACCAGCCCTGACAGGAACACCAAGACCTTCGTAGCTTGCGGGGAGGGGGTGTGTGTGGAGGGCACGGGGGTCGCAAGGTGAAGAAGAGGGCTGGCAGAAAATAATTGGGGGCGGGGGGCTGTGGATGCAGGCTTTAAGACTGTAAGCACGGCTCACAGTTAAACACGAACGACAGAAAAGCTGAATAAAAAATTTTAAAAGCCCACCTTAAAGCCCACCACCCCACGTTGTTGTCAGCTCAGTCTCCAGCTCCCCCCACCCCCACACGAGAATACGCGGGGAAAATCCCCACAAATGGGATTTTCGCTCTCCCAAAACCGCTACTACAGCGCACGTCCCCCCTCTCCGGCTTTCCCCCTTCCCCAGGCCCCCAGCGCGGTGGTTCAGCTCTCCCCATCGCCTCCCGGCCGTGACGAAGCCCACCCCCCCCCCCTTACCCGCCGCGGTCTCGGTCGCGGCCCCGGTCCCCGAAGCCTCTCATCGCCCCCGGAGGGGTGGGCGAGAGGCAGCGGAACGCCGGCCGTGGGGACGGCGACGGGCTGGGGGTACGGGGAGAGGGTCCAGCCAGGGGCGGCTGTGCCTCGGAGGACTCGCTTTGCGCCACCTCGCCTCTTTGGTGGGACACAAAAGGAGAAGAGGTGGTCAGTGGGTCCGAGACCCGCTGGGCTTCAGCGGCCGGGACGGCGGGGCTCTCGGTCGGCTCCAGGGCCCGGGCGGTGTGGAGACACAAGCGTCTTCTTCCTCCGCGCTCCCGGCACAAAATGGCGGCCGCCGCCCCGGCCCGCTCCGCTTACGCTACGGGCGGCGCAGCGCTGCGCAAACCGCGGCGCCCCGAGACGCCTACGCCTATTCACGGAACGCAGCTACGCACGAGGCGCGCGCGGCGAAGCGCCGCCCCGCGCGGCAGCGGGCGGGCTGCGAAAGGTGCGTGGGGTTCTTTGCTTAGAGCCGGCGCCCCGCGCGGGGAAGGCGGGCGGGAGAAGGAGGGAGACGCTGCTCCCCAAAGTCTGCTGCGCCAAGAGCGCGCCCCGCGGCGCCTTCGGCCCGGCGGGCAAAACCCGGGCCGGGGCGCACGTTACGTAAGCGCACGGCGTACGCAAGGTGCGTAACCGAGGCCGGCGTAGGGCGGGAAGAGCCCGTGCGCTCGGCGTAACATTCTTTGGCGGAGCGCGCAGGCAGAGCCGGAGGGCTACGCTGATTGCGCAGCGGGTTTCAAGAATACGACCCGTCGCCCACGCGCCCGCGGGCCCCGGGGAGGTGGCGGCGGAGCTGGGCGTGCAGTGGCGGGACAATAACGGGGCGAGGGGCGGTGGGGCAGGAGCGGCCCTACGGGCCTCCGTGGCGGCTCCAGGTTTTTCCATACTAGATTAGTAGGGGGATCTTGGCGCGGCGCTGGGGCAGGAGCAGAGTGACAGCGGCCATGATGTTTGGTGTCGCCAGAGCACCACTAGGCCGAGAAAGAACTCCCCAGATCAACCTCGCCGAATGAAAGAATAATCCATGAGGCGATTACGTGGCACAGGCCATAAATTCTTTTGTGCCGTGCATGTGCTATGGCCAAGGGGCAGGTCAGCGTGTCTTGGCAGCAGGGGCCGTGTCGGGTGGATGATGGGGTCACACCAGACCCAGCCCTGGCCCAAACCGCAGCTGCACTATCACTGGTGTTTTCTGGGCCGTCAGGTTATTAAAAACCGGGTATATTGGCAGAAGAGAAAGTGAGTCCCCTTTAGTTCCAGACCCTTGAATAAAAGTAACAGCCTGGAATAGCACACAAATTACTGGTTTAGTTTTATGTGCTGTATATTTGTACGTATGGCACGTGTGAGAGAGCAAAAAGCGATCTTGGTGCCTAAAATAAAGTATTGGAAGAAACTTGGGCCTTTCTAGGTGGGAGGGAGTCAAGTGACCCTGCATGCTCCCACTGACACCTGGTACTCGGCCACTGGATATGAATGCCTGGTACGGGACCGACACATGCAAAGGACTAGACATTGCATTAAATGACAGTAGCTGATCCATTCCTGGCTCTCCCAGATCAGCCAGCCTCCCTGTCTTTGTCTCTCAAGACTTTTCTCCACTGTGAAAAATAGTGCTTTACCTCAAGAAGAATACCAACTCTGTAAAGAAATCACTTAAGGAAGGCAAGCCCTCTAGGTCTTTCACAAGGAAAAGCCTGGCTACGGCATCAGGCTTCTCTTGGATGAGTTTCTGGTCATCACTGCCTTTTTACTTCATGTTACTGTACAGGCATTTGTTAATCTAAATGAAAAAATTCTTGTGCCAGTGAGGACAAGCTCCCTGACCAAAGTTAGACCGTTCTCATTACCAGAGGATAAAGTAAGACCTTCCCTTATAGATAGAAATACATAAATTGTTTAGTTTATTTTAAAACAAGCCATTCCATGAGCATCAGAGGTATTGCAAACTGAATTATTATTTTATCCCTCAATGCCCTGTTACTCTCTTTATTCCCAGCTTCTTTTGTCTTCCATGACCTACATCTGTGGCTAGTTTGGAGCTGTGTTCCCTCAGCAAACTGAATCCTAAATGCCTTTCCCTCAGTGTAAGCAACAGTGCCAGCCTCCCTCTCTCCTATGTAGCCACTGGAATTGTTTTATTCCCTTTAATAATGATGATGATAACAATAATTCATAGCAATCTTTAGTAATCTTCCTTCTGTTAGAAGAATGCCAAGCAAATTAGGTAAAGTTTGTTCCTTTAGAGAGCTAGAAAAAAGGTTTAAAATGTTGGGTTGCACCCGGATTATTTCTCTCATGAAAGATCAATGGGATTATTGAGAGGAGGGTTTAATTCAAAGCACCCAAACATAATCAGATCTCTGTTCTAATTCAGTCTTTATTTTTAAATTTAATAAGAACAGTTTTAAAACATTCTCTTCAAAAAGAAAAAAATGCTAAATAAAAATGTAAGCTTTATCCAATCAAGATAAAAATGCTTAAGAACATATTTTCAAAATTACTTTTTCTTCTACAGTACATGAGAATCCATCAAGTTCCTGGGCTGTTGCTCCTCCCACTGCCTTTTCCATCTATTTATGGTAATTTCATAACTGAGTTTATTCCAGTTCTTCTTCATTTCGCTCCATTAAATTCTACCACTTAGACATTCTCTTTGAAATAAACTAAGAAAGAGTATATTTAATCTCATGTGAAAGAACAGCTTTGATTTTCACAAAACATAGGAAAGGGACTCAGAGAACAATTCACAAGCTTATTTCTTGAATCTTTCTCTGCTGAAAGTTCAGTTGAAAAACAAAGACCTTAAATGAACCAAATTCAGTAAAACTGAACTGTACAGAGTTCATCCCAGTGTTCTCCCAAAATATCTCAAATAGTTCCCAAAAGCTAGAAATGCAGCCAGGCAGTTGGTGGCCATGCACAAATCTTCATCCCAACTTGCCCAGCAGTACATTTACACTGTTTTTTTACCTATTCTTTGGCATCCCCAATCCCTCCTGTGGTTATTGCAAATGTAGCTTCATTTTCAGGCATCTCAGGGCTGGAGGAAAAAAAACAAACAACCAAGAAACTTGTGGGTTTCTCCATGTTAAATGTAGTTGTGAAACAGTCCCCAAAACGTTGCAGGTGTAAGTGACCTGGAATACTTCAGTGCCTTTATACCTATGTGAAAACGTGATCAATATCATCAAGATAGAAAATGTGAAGTCATTGTGTCAGGAAAACTTAGTAATTTAACAGCTCTGGAGTTTTCCTGCCAAGGGAGCACCAGTCTTACCAAATTACTGGATGGTCTTCTTTAAGAGCCGAGCATCTTAGCAGGATTTAAGATGAAAGATCACGTAATTTAATGTGTGCAATATGCAAGACAACTTTAATTAGTTGTTTAATTTGTTAATTAGTTTGTCCTTTCAGGTTTTCTCCCAACTTACCATGCAGAAAGTTTCAGTACCTTGAACTTTGTCACCTTGTGGTTGCTCGTGATGCAGGACCCTTGCTGTGAGGGAAAGGTCATTTACCTGTCATATATCTTTGCAATACGCAGCTCCCCTCTCCCCTTCCTCAAACTGATCCTGGTAGTCGAAGCATGAGCAAGGATGTGGCCCCCAATGGGCTTTTTTGGGTCTGCCTGAAAACTGAATTAGCAAGAAAATGGTGGTGATTCACTGTGCAAATTCCAGAGGTTAATACTGTGATTAACTGTCAGGCAAGGCCTATTCAACTCAGTAATGAATGATAAATAGGTCAATACATTGAAAAAATACTTTAACACACTTGCCTCAAGATAGGATGTTCAAATGGTCAATGCTGGCATCATTTGCCTCTCATTAAATTCAAGAGGCTCAAGAAATGCACAATTTAAACATCATATATGAGCTTCTCCTAAGGAAAATGGGATGCTTTTCCAATACTTTTTGTAGCTCGTTCTCTTCATTCAAGTCACAGTGAAATCAGACCATCATACCAAGCAGCAGATAAACGTGAAAAACAGTCATTACAAAGACTGAGAGAAACTTAGAGGTGTCATCCATGAACGATTCCTCATACCACAAGAACCAATAAACAATCTGAACCTTCATTTCAGTGCCACTTGCCAGATATAATCTCAGTTCTCATCTCTGTTAAATATGTATTACAAAATAGAAGACATTTTTTAAAAAGAGAGAGAAAAATTATCTTACGTCATAGTTGCTCCTGGGTCAGCAGTCATCTGGTTGGTCACAAACACAGCCACGTTATATTCTGTAATGGAAAACAATGCAAAGAGGGTAGACTACATCCAATTAGAATTACAGAATATTCTCCCATCCATGGTAAAAGCAGGGCTGCTGCTAAAGCATTTCAAATTTCAAATGAATGAGCAGCAAATATTTTTTATGGCTGATGGCTGCAGTTAAGCAGGAGTCAGCCTGAATTTGCTCCTGCATGGCTTCAGCTGTAATACACCAAAAACGAGCACTTTTCAGAATTCCAGTGGAAAAGTCTTTCTCGGTTCCCATCTTCTCTCTTGGCACCCTGCCCTCAGCATCCTCTCCCTCCCTTTCTCTGTTTGCCTTTTTTTTTTACTGCACAGAAAAAAAGCATTTACTAATTCCTCATCAACATTTCTAAGACATTCCAAAGAGAAGAAATTCTATTCATCCTGTCATCATCCCTCAGAGCATTGCAAAGTCCTGGGAAAGCAGCAATGGGCACGGCTTTTTTATCTCTCTGTGCCTTCATCCTTTTTTCTATTCTTTGTATTTCTTTTGTATTTAGATTGTAGAAATCTGGGGAAGATAATTTGTCTTACTGGATATTTGTCCAGATCGACAACCTATTCTCTCATTTAGGACTTGACAATATTTCTAGAAAAACTCTAAGCGCTGAAAAGTTCTAAAGTTTTCTCAATCTGTCATCTTGAATTAATATATTTTCAGTTTGATCTTTTTGGTAACAGACAGAGGTGTAAAGTGAGGAAAGATTCCTGGGCCAGTACCTGACTGATAATACACCTGCACTACTAGGTGGTTGTGCTACCAACCTTCTGATATTTTTTGGAGCCTTGACAGCATCTGAGCTAGTTTCTGTTGTCGTTCGGCCAACTCTCCACGGCCACTGAAATCCACACGGAAAAGTGCCATTATGGAGTCAATGATCTGCATTGCAATTATGCTAGATAAGTAAATATAGTGAAAGAAAACAGGAAAACTTATTCTGAAACAGTAAGCATACAAAACCAAAAAGTCTTGTACCAATAGCTTGAAGATACCAGCTTCCTCATGGAACTTGGCTGCTACATAGTCAAGCAATTCCATCTGATGTTCACCTGGTGGGAGGTAGAGTTGCCAAACGAAATTAGGACCAGAAAGAGCTCTGAAGGAACAAAAGTGTGAATTTTAAAATTCCACTTTAAATGTTTGCACTGTTTATAGTTTCACTGCCAGCAGTTTTACTGTTATGCCCAGTAACAATACCCAACAGTGCCTGTGCTTCTGCAGGCTCCAGTTTCCACTTGCCCATCTCACAACACTTCCTTGTGAAAAGCTTCACGATGAAACTATGCAAGAAGACAACTTTTTTTCTCGTGTTAAGAACTGAAAAGCAATATAAACATTCCAACTTAATGTTGAATTAAATGACACACAGAAATTGTTTTAATCATATTATTCATGTTTATATTGCACTCTCAAAGTAAAAGTCCCATTTAAAACTTTCTTAAGTTTTAAAGCAGTGTCTTGTGACAGATTGTGTTGGAGCTGTCGATAAACTGAGAATATTAAAACGGGTACCTTAGAGAAAAAACTTAAATATCATGCCAGTTGCAATACTGTTCTTACTAGTATATGCACGTGCATACAGCACATTGTCAAGCACTGCCTCGTGGTCAACACTGAAGCGATCGGCAATGTCACGAAGACGGTCTGGTCGGCTGACATTAGTCAGAGTTAAGGATTTCTCTTTGTACAAACCATGCCCTGAAAATAATAAAACTCCATTCCAAAATAGAATTAGGGGTAGGGCAGGGGGGAAAGAAGAAGACTGACTTTTTCTCTTAATACTGTCCCACGTACCCTAAAGATAGTTTAAGGCTACAATGATAATTGTTTTGTGTTTAGGCTTTGAGGTCGGGAGTGGGGCTGGCATATGGATGTCTGTGCTCTAGGAATTTAGCTGTGAGCAAAACCTGTTTATACACAGTCTATCACAGATGTGAAGTGTTAAAAATAGTGTTTAGTACTTAGATAAATTTATCTTGAACAGAAAAGCTGCTATCACCTGTAGGAGGCCTATTAGATCTCAAAAAAACCCCAAAACGAAATCTGAATCCTAACTCTAATTTTTCCAGGTTGAATTACATGAAATGACAGAGGAAAAAGTCACTTCCTTGTGGGCCACTACACACTGTGCTCTTCAAGATTTCTGTGCCAGTCATAATGTTTTACATACACGAAGGTATCAGGAGACTCCTGCGTCCATACAATAAAATGAACTGTCTTTCAGTTCATCATACCTGTAGCTTTAACAGTCAAAAAGATACAAAGTGTTTTCAGTATCAATGAAGATAATCTTTCCACCTGTGTAGCCATTTGGTCCTGGGAGCTGAGCTGTCACTGCAGAGAATCATAGAAGATCACCATGAGAAAGTGGGAAAAATACTTTTTTGCTTCATCTATTATTACTATTTTTAAAAATAAAATACAACTGCTTATTCATATCACAAAGAACCATCAGTTTTAATCAGTGTGGAAATCAGAAGTATCTCAAGTCTTCCTGCCATCTTGAGTTTATACTCAAGCCCCTTTTCTCGAGTGGAGATCAGATGAGATTTAATAAACAGTGTCAAAACTGTGTTTTACTGAGTACCATAAGTAAATCTGTATATTTTAGGAATATTATTAATAAGTTCTTATACACAATGCATCATCTTAATCCTCTGCCCAAGTTAATTGTATTGTTTTAGTAGGATTTTTTTCCAGCTGTAACTCATCTGATCAAAAATTCTTTGGATATGAATTTTTCCTGATACATGAATAGTTACTGATTGTGGGTTTAGTCTCTTTGGAGTGAATAAGCTAAAATATTCAATCCAGTTGTAATCATTCATGCAAAAGGGTATGACTCTGCTGGCCATCAGACTGTACTAACCAGAAGAGGCCTTATTTTTCCAGAACATGCCATATTTCACTATACAATGTAGGGTTTATTTAGGGTTTATTGCCTACCCAGTGTCTGGTAATTCCAGCAGCATTAGTAGTTATATTAGTTATTGTTTACTCCTCTTTACACATCGAGAGGTATCTCTGGGAAATCAGAGTCCTGCTGTATTTGGCTCTGCCCGAATACCGTAACCGCCAAAGTATTTGTTTATCCAGTTACTGACAGCCAGTAGTATCCCCTTGGTGCCCTTTCAGAATGTCATATTCAGCAAAACCTCTGGAAACCAGGAAAGTAAAAGAGATACTGAGATAGAATCTTTGCCTTTGCCCTTTTCTGAGCAATGCCCCCCCATCTACGTGTGACTCATATTTGTGCTCTGCTTTTCCAGATGGTGTGTTATACTGGTTTACCTAAGGCAGTCTATTATCTTCTGGGCTCTTATGGCAAAATTTACATGGGTGTGGGCAGTATTAAAAGTAATCATTTATATGAGTTCTCTACTTAAACACAGCTAATGGAGGTAAGAGTCACCAAGGTCTGTTACACTGTATTTCTAGACATAAAAGATTCCGAGTTGTCTCTATGTGTTTAATTCTGATATAGGGGTAAAGAATGGATTCACTGAGAAAAAACATCTCAAGTATTACACTTACCACAAAGAGTGTGAGATAGCTGGGTTTTGCCTGTCCGAAACTCTGTTAAATAAAGAAAAGGAAAAAAAAAAAAGTCAGGGTCTTTTTTTCCAAGTTTGCCAGATTCAGGCATTACTGCAGTTAGAAATACTCTTACTTACAAAACTCACCTCTATCTCTATCTTTTTAAATCATTTAACCTCAATTTATAAATCATATTCTGCGCAGGAGAAATGCGTCACGTGAAAACCAAAATCTGAAATGCTCTAATTTGATCGCACTTGATTGCTAAGGTCATTTATTCCCTTGTGTGTAGAAGTCAAAACCACATGGCACCTGTGGAAAAGTGTTAACTGAGGATGGGTGGGGTAAGAAATGGTTGATTCTGTTGACCTGGGACACTTTCATTTTCAGTAAAATGATCAAGGAGAAGCTTACCATCTCACTACATCAAATTATGTTAGTCTCCAGCTTATCTTTTCTAAAGGGGAGAGTACTGTGTTTTATGAACTCTTGTTGTTGAAGTGTTAAGCACAAACTAATCAAGTGTACTATAATAGTAGCTTAATTGTAATTTCAGAATCTTACATGAAATACAATGTACACTAAATGTGCATACCTTTTGTGGCAGTTGTGTTACTGGAAAGGGACATTTTGCATCAGAACTTTGGCACCATAGTAATAGTGTTAACACTGATATATTTTACTGAATCAGTATGTACCAAGTCTAATGATTACTGAGCTCAAACTTAGTCTGAAAGCAAATGAGGAGGGAAAATGAGAAAACACTAAAAGAAGTGGATTCTTTCTTCTTGCACTTGTGCAGGTCCTCATCTTTGTGAGAACAATGTGATAAATTTGATTGAAGTAATCAATTTTTTATGAATTAAAATCTAAATTAAGTTTCAGTTCTTTGTTTGGTAATACTCATTTAATGTGGTTCTCTCACCTCCAAAGGCCTCAGTGATTGCCATGCTTTCAATCCCACCACCTAGAAGTTTACTGGAGGAAGGGAGAGGATTATGATATAGTTAAACCCACAAGATCAGAAGAGGAAAGTAAAAATGAGACATTTTTGCTACTTTAAGAAAAGTAATTTCTGCCCTAAAGCCCCTCACTTGGTGCATTAAGTGCAGGGCACTAAATGATCCCTGATTCATAAAGAAGTAACTCTGTCTTCACCTCTCTTTTTACGTGCAAGAATAAGATCTATAGAAATTATAACTGGAAAGAAAGAAGAATAAAAATAACATTTGAAAAGATAACATTCCATAAAAATATCTCAGGGGAGGTCTTGAACACCTGTAATTTTGACCTGAGACCTGCAGGTTGTTTTGACTAAGTAAAAAATGATACATTCATGATTTTTGGATGCAAACTCTGGATGTTTATTTACAGTGACTGTACAAAGTTCAGTTTCCCTCAGAAAAGGAGTTTGCTTTGTTGATTACTGATGCAGGAATCTTTGAGCCAGCACTAGCTCCAAATGCAAAGGCACCTACTTGTCCTAGCTGAGTATTTATTCCCTTATATTTCAGTGTCTCATTACGGACAATAAATATAATCATTGGAAATATTTGGGTGAAGGAGGGATTTTAGAGATAAGCTTACTCAAATTCCTGGCTGCCAGTAGAAATATGAAATACCATCTTCCGTTTTTCACTGTACTCAAAGGCAGTCAGGAAGCCTGGCTCCTAAGGAAGACCAGAGACAACATGAGAGGTTTACTTTAGCTTTATCCTGGAGTTAAAGTGCAATATCGTACATAAATATCTTCTCTCCACTCTAGCCTCATTCACATGGGTTAGGTATGAAAAACACTATCTGGCTGTTGTGGAGTATAAAGTATTATCCCTTTACAGTAACAGAGTAATTTTCAAAATTACCTTAATGATGTGGTGGAAAATCTGTTAAGAGAAATGTTGCAGAGCATTTTGGAGAGGCCAGCATAGGTTTAAACTCTCAGGAAAGTGACTTACAATAAGCTTGTTTGCAGCTTCTTTAATCTTGTCCACTTTGGCCTCTGAAAGCCCTTTTACATTGCACAGCGCACGTCTTGTGGTCATCTGGATTCCTTTGATTGTACAGATCCCAACTGACTTCAGCTTTTTAATATCTGCTACATTCTGTAAAGAAATTTCCCTTCTGTGAGTACTCAGGCAGTTAACAACTTTGAAACATATTTTGCTATACATTCATATGCATGCATGTTTTCACTAAGAAATAAATAAACAGATTTATACAGTAAACTCTTCATTGTGTAGTTTGTGACACCAACAAAAGAAAATTTTGAGTATGACTGGTGTGAGGGACCGTGGCGCAGAGAGCAGCTCCTGGTGGTTTTGAGAGAAAGGTGTCTGGGTCCGGTTGTATTTACTTGTCCCTCTTCGGTGTCAGTTTTTCTAGATCCAAGCTGGTAGTGAAAAAACAGTATGGATCATTACAAACAGCATGGAGCCCATCCTGAGAAACCACATAACACTCAAGTCTGTCCTTGGTCCCTTAGCACAGATAATCTGTAAACCGTATAATCTGAGAGTGGATAGTTGTGAGCCGATACACAAGGATCATCGGGATCTAACTGCTGTGCTGGTTTGGCATGTTCACAGTTATGTCCAGTTTAAAACACATGTATCTCTAGATCTGACTGATAGTTTGGGATGGAATAAGCTACTAGAGTTTTTTGTAAATTGGGAACAGCACGACTTCAGACAGCACCCCCCTGACACATTTTGCCTCCTCTCACCTCATTTTATGATGTTGACATTACTGGGAATTTAAAAGCACAAACAGTGTACTCACAAAAAAACATACCATGTGAAAGGTGTGGGATAATACATCAATTTACCATTTCCAGACAAGATTTTCCTTTGAAAAAAAACAATGAACTGGACGTATCATCTATTTATCTCGAGTGTGTGAGTGCATAGAGCATAAGAAGGGAAGGGGTTGTGTGAGAAATTAGTCATGTTCATTTGGAAGCTTATTTCTCATCCTGTGATATATGTATGATACTCAGCAAAGGCTGGGGGTCACAGCACCTTAATTCCTACCAAGCACCTTTGATCATCGAACCACAACCTCAGTTGTGCTATTCTGACTCTCTTTGTGGCCACACTGTCAGATCTAGTAAGTATTTTTCTCTCTGCTCCTCAGAGAAAAAATCTAAATCCACAAAAATTATTTCTTCAAGTAAATTAATTTAGCAGATATGGGTCATCACATGTTCACACAAAGCTTTTAACTGGCAGAGCTGAGAACAAAACCTTCCCCTGGGGTGTGGGAATAACCACCTGGAGGAAAGAAAAAAATGAAAAGGAGCAGAACAGCCCTATGAAACAAGAAAACAGCCTAAGTCATTATTCTTTATTTTCAAGATCTTTCATACATTCATATAATTCTGTGAATGCTGTGCCTTATTTAACACTGACAGGCTAGTACAGCTCCCTTCCAGCTCAGGTTAGCCTCTTTGATCAACTTGTTAAATTTTTAATGCAATAATTTGTGTATTTTTGCTGGGTTGCCCCATAGGTAGAGCTCACAATCATGTGATCCTTCTTCAGAACTCTAAAACTGCCAATAAAAAAAGTTGTCAACAATTACACTGCTGACATGCTCAGCCCAGTAGCTACAGTGCTGACTAATGATGACTCATTGTGTCTGTGTCCTTCCCATCTGTATCTGCCTGTAGTCATTTAGAGTTAAATCTTATGTTACTTCAGTCAACCCAACCTTTTATTCTGCTCCTATAACTGAATATAATAGGACTCCAATCCATGAGCCAGACTCCTAGATAAACATATAATAATAGTAATTCAAATAAATAGGTGATGTTTATGTGATAATGATGATGATAACAATGATAGGAATTCATATTTTATGAAGAAAACTAAGCACTTACTTCTCTAGCTACTAATATTTTCCTCACTCCTACTCTACCCCCTTCACCAGCAGGCTGAAAATAGTATAGCAACAATTGTCACAGTGTAATCTCACAGGCACCAAAAATGCAGGAGTAATTACAAAGATTGGCAGGAACAGGAAATAATCTACCACACAGTTTTCAAATAAATTAGCAAGCAGTTGGTTTTTCAAGAGTGCTAGGTGCTAAATACTTTGAGTGTCTTGCCACTTTATTTAGGAATCTGATGTGCATGAGATTTTCTAAAAATTTGTCTTATCACCAGAGGCAAAATTTGTCTCCACATGAATGAGTTAGAATGTATTGCAAGGAGGAATTTCAGCTATTTGCATCAACGTGCATACAGTTTTGGAAACAACCTTACAACATCTTTACATACACAAACTCTGTGTGGTCAAGTGATTGCTAATACTTACAATTCCATGCTTCTGTAGCAGGTCAATATCCTGAAAAAAGGATTCCTAAAAAAATAGCAGGAAAAAAAATAGATTTTGCTTTTTCTTGTTATTTTCTTGTTATTATGTGTATCTCATTATGTGTCTGTTTCAAATTTGTAAACATTTATTGATTTTCCCCAATAATACTTAAACTTCTTGGGCAACTGAAATAAGCAAAGCCATAGTGAACCAAAAAGGCCTTAACATTTCCTATCACCTTCTCCATGAAGTGTAACTTCACAGGCAATTAATCCTCCGCTGTGCTAATAAAACCTGTGTTATCATCATTGTCATCTGGAGCTTTTCTGCCACAGTTTCTTAGTCTTTTCATGCAATGACCATTCCTCGGAAGCACAAAATTAACTGATAGTTCCCTTTCATTTAATATAGAAGCACAAAATATAAAGAAATGATGATAACCCCATTAAAAATTGTGCATAGCTTTTGAAACGTTAACGAAGAGTACTTGAAGAGCCAGGTTGTACAGGGACAAAGAGAAGGAGATTTTTTTGGTAATAGATTGGAGCAAAATTTTAAACGCATTGAACTCCCTGATGGTCTTTGGGGATCTCCTGTCTCTCCACTGAGTTCTTAACACTATTAAATTACTTTCAAACAACATTTGCTGCTCATATTTTCCAACCAGCCTTAAATTCACCTCATCATCCTGGTATCCTGGTTCTTCTTGAACTACTTGATCCTCCATGGCCTTCATTGTGAAAGAGCAGGCAATAAAGTATTGATCACTGCTGGGAAATGCAAACAAAGACAGTACTGGGGAGGCAATAAATGAGTAAATGACTGTAAAAGTACTTTTAAGAAATCCTTGAACTGCAGAAACTTGTCAGTATGTCATCGTATATGGATTTAAACTTAGATTCTGCTTCCAGCTCTTCATTATGTGATATACCAGACCAAAAGGAAAAAATCTACTGCTTTACTTTAAGATGAACCGGTTTGGCTAGAAAGGGGCTTCATGGGTATTAGGAAAAGAGATCTCATTCCTTTGTGAGAATCTTGGGTCAGAGACAAGTTTTTGGAGGTGGGAACACTTAAAATGATTTATCATTATTGGAATTTATTCTGGTAAGAATGCTAAAGGCAGTCTGTATTTTTATAGCAAAAGTCAGCATAGTTACAGACAGAACGGTTAACAGAAAAGCTGTGCAACAGCTCAGCTTCCCCATCTTTATGTGAAAGAAAACCCACAAAACAGTGCTACTGAGAAGGCTACAACTTCTTAGTGATATATCTTGAGAGTAGACTATTAAAGCTGTATTTGTTTTGAAGTTCTTGCTGAGGTTCAGAATGACCAGTAAATGCTGAAGACATGCAAGTAATGCCTCTAAGGAGTATGCCTGCATAAAGAGAATAAAGGAAGGGTAATAAAAATATGAGGCTTTTACTATGCAAAATCATATACAGAGAGCTCATTTCAAGTTTTTTCATGGTTAACTTGCCATGTCTGTACTTCACCACTGTTTCCCTGCCCTCTCTATGTGACTTCTTATAAACAAGGCCTAGAACTGGAACAGGCACTTAGTGATAGCATGGTTAAACAGGAAGCAAAATATGACCTCCTTAAATTGTATGAGTGCAAAAAAAAAATGAATACAAAGTAGTTCCTTAGAAACACGATCTTATAACCTGTAATCATTTTTGTGGGTTTGTAAATGGCTAAGTTGCTTCTGTTTTAATTGTGAGTTTTCCTTTGCTGTTCTAGCTATGGCTGATCAAAAGTTTTGTAAACCATCTCACCCAGATGTGTGTATATATTTACTTGCTCATCCTTTCTAACAGAATCCACAAATTGTAAGATTTGGGAGTCTAAGAGAGGTCAGGATAGTTTAGGCTAAACATCTGCAAAGTGCCTTTTTTTTCAGCTTCTAAATGGATACTTAAGGTATGCCTAATTTGCTTGCAAGAATCTTCTGTATACAGAGGCTGGGAAAGGGAGAAACAAAATACCAACATTTTAGTATTATTTTCTGTTAATATTTAATGGAAATATTCTTACAAAATCAGTTGTTTCTGATAGTGTCAGGTTATATTTCATTTATATTTCAGAACCCTGACAATTATGGAATGACAAATCATGCCTTTGCATAATTACAGTAAAACATTAATTATAAAATAAGAGATTTTAAAGAAATCCTTAACTTCAAATACTGAAGGAAGAATAACAAGTAATGCAAAAGGTATTAAAACTATATTACAATCCCCTTCTTCATTAGAAACATCCTCCTGAAATGCATATAATCCTGCACTTCAATAACGTTCAGCAGGTCATGGAATCGTTCTCCTTCTCCCCATTCTGAGGCAATTGGCATTTCATGGCAGAAAAATGAGGCAGACCCAGACCTGTGCCTTCCTGCAGGCTACAAGGGAAACTTAAGAAATTATACCTCACCCTACTAAAAAATTTAGGTATGAACAAAATCCTCTTGCTCAGTGGAGGGTCCTCCTGCTGCTGGTGTGTTGGCACACTCGAAGGATTTCAGTCACCACAGCCTGCAACGAAGCACATAAAAGGATGAAAGTCTGAGACAAAAGAGCAAATCTATGAAGAAACACCAACAATCTTGTGCCACCTCAGGAGCCCAAGAGTGGTGATGAAGACCTGGATGCTGCACCCCTTCCAGGCTGCGGATGTGACAGGGGCCTGGTCCCAGCAGTTCCCACTGGGTTTTTGTACCGACAGAAAATGGCTGGAGCAGAGCTCGACCCCCTGGGCCAGGGGCAGGAGGGGATCTGACCTGCCCCAAGGGGCAACATGGTGTGATCTCACCTGTGTTGACTCAGAGGAATATGACTGATTAATCGCCTATCAACACACGGATTTATTTGGTTTTTCCTTGCCAGCTGCCTTTGCATGGGATGTACATTTCTGTTCCCAAGGGGGTGAGGCACCACAGAATTTCCCTCCCCCGCGGAGCACCGTAATTCCCTAAGAAAATTACAACAGTAATGAAACCCCAGCTCATGCCCGGGCAGCTCCGGGAGCGGGTGGGTACAGTACTCAGGGCAAGGCTCCAAACTCGCCACAGTCTCCCACCCTCCTCCTCCTGAGGGCACGGACCCACCGCCTTCCCGCCGGCGCCGAGAGGCGGAGCCATGAGGGCGGGCACGGGCTCCTGGCAGGAACGGCGGCCGTCCCTTCCCTCACCCCGTCCCGCGCTGAAATACATTTTAATCGCTGTCTTTAATCACTGCATCATCTATGCTTTATGAAATACTATACTCGCTGTATCTAAGGAATATGGCATTGCCCTTGTTTTACAGCTGGGAAAGGCAGCCTTAGGTAAAAACATGGAATGGCATTGCTTAGGAGGGTGTTCGATTCAACACGCTCTGCCTTTGTTTTTCGAGGGTGCCACTCACGCATCTTCCTAAACAAGGCACACGGCGTTTTTGGATTGGATGCCCAAAACCCGTCAGAGAGCTGGAAAAGAAGTGACTTGCCTGAAGTCACAGGACAAGAAAATGAGGCTGAGTCACACACATGACTTAATCTGCCATTTTAAAAGGATGGAAAAGGTGCTTTTTAGGATATGATCACTTTGAGACATCTGCAGTCTTCTTGGAGGCAGTATGTGGAAAGCAATTACCCGTTTTAGCTTGCCTCTGGTAGCACAGTCAGTACAGGACCGCATGTCAAGGAGACATCCGCGGATTCCTGTGAGCAGGAGGAGTTCCTGGCCGCCCCTTGTGTAGGTTTGAAATGGCAGAAGGGATGGGAGCAACATTCTCAGCCTGTTTCAAGGTGTTTGTGCACCCTTTGTCTGTGGGAGGTTAAGGGCACTTTTTCCAAGCTGTTTCTTAGCCAAGTCAGGAAACCAAGCAACAAACCCCATGGCCCTCGGCCATCATCAGCACACCACAGGAGTGCTCGAAGGGCCCCCATTTGAGACATTAAGCAATTTACATGAGTACCAAAAGTCTAATCCTGGGAGCCCTGAGGCTTTGTCTATACTGAGGAACCGGCTGGCATTGCTTTTGAAAACTGCATTATTCCACAAGAGCTATTCCAGAAGAGCACTTAGGCAGACAGCCCTTTAAAGGCGAATTCCTTCACAAAGTATGCTATTATTCCAGGACAGAATGCACATGCAGAGAGTGACCCTTCTGGTCTTACTGAGCACCTCTGCTGCAGCTAATGCCTCTGTAAACAACCTTCCCTTCATTATCCTTTTAGTTCGGAAAATAGTTCTCAGAAAGGTCAACGAATGCACAGAATCTGAAGATTATTTCCCACTCCAAAATGCTACTTTGGGCAATAAATTCCATTCTACAGCTTCAAAATGTTGTATGATCATTAACTGTTCATTTGGCTTCCAGCTAGTGTTGTGCAATAACCCTATATACCCCATCCCACACACTGGCCAAGTGAGTGGAGGTGTGCTGGAATCTGCTCCTTTCCTTTTACATGTTCTGCTGCTGACCAGTGCATCTCCAGCTGGGAGTGAAGTGCTGGCAATGAGACACACCACTGTAATCTGCATTTCCTCTCACACAAGATCTTGTAGTAGTTTGGACAAGATAAGACCCAAGTCAAACCATTACCATAAAAGTATTAAGTATCCAGAACAGGGAAATCATGAGGACTTTTTTGGTTTTGTTGTGTTTTGTTTGGGTTTGAGGTTTTGGTTTGTTGTGGGTTTTTTTTTTGATTACCTGGGTTTGATCCATATTTATGTTGCTCAAAAGGACTAAAGTCAAATATAGGAGCTAATGCCTTCTCTGAACTTTCAAGTTGGCAGTTTGCCTGTTCCTAACCAGGATAAAATAATACAATATCTGAAGTCTTCCCAGAATTGCAGAATGCTTCCGGGCAATGGTGCAGCAATTTCTTCATATTCTGCAGCTCTCCCTTCTCTAGCAGCCATTGTTTGGATTATTTTTTCCCCTGTAAAGTTGAAAATGCATGTTGGGGGCGGGAGGTGGAGAGGGCAAGCAGAAGAGAGAAAGAATACTGAATATTTCAAAGACAATCCAAATATTAACAAGGCAAAAAAATTTTCTAGTGTCTCTTACAAGAAAGGAATATACAGAGTAAATGGCAGCACCACTTTGGAAGTTATGTTAGCTCTTATATTCCCAAAACTACCCAAATCCAGCAATCATGATAGCCATGCAATGCTGTCTCACTTTATCTACTCCCCTAGTCATATCATAGTGAACAATCACTGCTTCCAAAACAAAATCTGCCAAAAACTTTCTGTGAGGAAGCGCAGACATAGATTCCATCTAGGTCAGTCTCAGGGAAACACCACATTGTTTAAATGTGCCCCATGGAATTTATACTATATCACACCGTACATCACAACTTGCTCCTCTTTCTTCACACCTGAAACCTCTTCTGAAAGCCCGTTATCTAATGGGTTATACTAGCAAAAGTATACTAGACTAGCATAGTCTAAAAGCATACCAGACTAGCAAAAGAGAAGAATAGCAGAATTGAATTCAGGTTATCAGAACACAGTAGGATGAATCCACACCATTTTTTGTACTTATGCAATTCTTGCTTATCTTTCTGCCACTTCATGTCCAAATCCCTCATTTATCTGCAGTCTCTCTGGCACAGTTCCTTGAATTCCATGTCCATCTTGGGAATATGACTGAAACTCTGCCTGCATATATGTTGGGGTAGACACTGAGATTTTACATGAAGGACACAACCCTGTCTATGTTGTCCTTCTCTTTGGTCAGATTTAAGATGAACTGCAAAAGCTGTACATGCATACAATGGGTCTCAGTGGGATTGGCAAAAATAAGAGATTAGCCAAGCTTCACTGTTCAGACTGGAGTAACAGGAGAGCTCTGTTGTTAAAATGGAATTACTGGAAGAAATAGAGATGGTAGTGGGAGACTGAGTTATGTCTCTATTGCAGTCTTGAGATCCTTAGAAAAGCCTTGAAAAAGTACTCAATACTACAGTGTTGGGAGTGATCCTGCATTAAAAAGACACAGATTTTGCTGCCTCTAATTTACTTTGAGTTAATCACTAAGGATATGTTATAGGATTAGAGATCTCCCTTCTGTTTATCAAGATGTCCTGTCCAGACCATGGTTCAGAATTGCAGCTATGGAGGAAATGATGAATTAGAGGGCTGTGCCCATCGATATTAAAGAGGTGCCAGGTCAAGTCAGGACCACAACAAATTATATGTGACCGGAGAAGAAAAGATGCCAAAGATAACATTAATATCAAAACACCAACCAGAGAATTCAGGAATGGGTATTTTTCTAAATGAAAAAGAATAACCTATATGTCAGCTGTACACACTAAGTCATAGCAGTCCAAGCACCATAAAATTCACTATTTTAACAGAAGATTATGACCTTAGCAATTCTTTCTTTAAAAAAAAAAAAAAAAAGCGAACTAAGAAAAACAAGGCCACTTCTAAGCTTTGCAAAACCTAAGCCAAGTTAGAGGATTTATGGAGACATGCATCAGTATATCACATACAGTCTATCAAAAAGACAAAGGACATAAAAAGCTGTCCCTTCTGAGAATGCACAAGGAGTTTTTTATTTAAGGTAAAAAAAGCAGACTAGTAATAGGAAAAAATAGAATTGAAAGGGACATCAAGAGATTATCTAGCTCAAAGCTGAATCAGATGTTTGTTTGCCTGGGGAGGCTGTGGGTTTTCTTTCATCTTTAGAGAAAGAATCAGACAATTTCGGTGCTTGGCTATCCTTGCCATTACCCTTGTTTTCTCCACTTCAATATGCCATGCAGTTTTATCTGTAAAAATATGCAGTATTCTTTGAGCTAAGCTCTAGTTTTAAAATTTCAGATAACTGACATTCTAACTCTTGCATTCATGTTTTTTTCTACCCCAAAAGAGAAAAAACCCCAGCATGTCCAGTTCTAAACACTTCTAAAGAAAAAAATGCCCTAACCTGATGGATGATGTGGTAGTGTGCACAGCTTGCTCTTACTTTCTCATGACTTTTGAGGCTAAAACCCTGTAATGATGCAACCCTGTAATACAGTAGTTTGCCATAACCTTTGTAGTGAATTTGCAAGGCCTCAGGACTGAGGCTTGTCAGGTTTGCTTTTGTTTGAACTTCTCTTGACCCTTTTTTATTTTTTACTTGGTTAGCTGTGACAGCAGTTTCCATAACTAACAAGGTCTATGGCTAATTTGTTTTACTTCTGTTTATCTGTGTGTGGTACAGCCATCATTTTATATAAATAGAAGTAACAGTTATTCTGTGTTGAAAGAGAGTTAGGACTAGCACAAGCATGCAGTGTAGAGAAATACAGGCGTTGTGCAATAGCAGGGGCCTTGAAAAGTGGGGACACAAGGTGGGCAGAGGAATACGGGGATGTAAATGTAACAGGTGAGGAACAGGCTTGGCCCTGCAGACAGGATGGCTATGAACAACTCACCAGTGATCAGTCAAAGAAATGCTGACATGGAGCTGGATTTAGGGGTAATAAAGAGAACAAAAAAATAACAGCTAACATATGTAATGAGCACCACATGCCATAAAATCAGACGTAGTGTGGTACTGCAGACCATTGAAGAAAGCTGTAAATGTGTGCTAGCAAGCATGCAAAAAATGACACCAAGAGTATCCTAGAGCAAGGAAGGAGAAACCACCAACATGAAGATCATAGTCTCGCAGCAAAGGACTCCAGGTGCTGACAACTCCCCATATCACCCACACACCAGAAAGAAACCACCAACCCTATGACTCACAGGAGCAGTGGACAGATGAGTGAAATACAAGGAAAAGAGGTAGAATCCAAGAAGTGTAATGTGTTACCGTTTTATAGAAGTACTCTAACTGCATTGTTATTCTTTCTGTAAGTTATATCTGGGTCAATAATCATCCAGATTTCAATTATCAAGATTTCATTTATACTAACAATAAATTTCTGACTTTATTATACATAAGGTGTGCTTCCTCTTTGCCCATGAGCAAGCTGTTGAGTGTAGCATCATGTCACTACCTAGTGGCTGACATACTCACTTCTAATTTTCACTATTAGCTGATAAATTAGAGGAAACTCAAGGATTTCCTGAGGTAACAAACAGATCATTAGCAAAATGGACAGACATGGATTAAGTGCATGTCCCAGCTAAAATTCAGTCCTTTAAAAATCCTATCACTGAGCATATTTCTGACCTATGCTTATACTTATTTTAAAAGTACATCTTTTTAAAGCAGCTTTTAAATGTTTAACATTTTTTTCTGCTTGAGAGGGTGGTGCCGTGACCTTCTACAGTTTATCAATCTCTGCACAAAAATCTCTACTGAAAAAAATGAAATGCAGTCAGTAAAATATATTAGTCTGAATCATGAAATGTATACTTTCAGAAGTGCAGGTCTTTTTTTAAACTGTGAGAGCTTTCTAAACAGCTGTTGCAAATTCCAAAATAACTGCTCTTGACTAACTCCACATACATAGATTTTTGTTTTGGAATAAGTGCACCTTGTTCTACTTCAGCTTAATATTAACTTCATGATAAACAGAAGTAACAGACTGATTATGAAATAAGACTGTCCACATATATAGCTAAGTGGGAGTAGTAATTGCAGTTACATATATCTTTTTTCATTTGAATTGACCTCAAAGATCACATAAAAGTAGGATGAAGAAAGAAACAGTAAAATTTATTTGATCTGAAACTCTTATCAGTCCTCAAGTTTGGTGACAAGCTTGCATTTGAATTAAAGCTCAGTCACAGGCCTGGTTAAAGTTCACGGGTGAATATCTTCATTTCACTAAGTAAACCAGAAGAATTAGCTAAATATTCCTCTGCTCGCAGATTAAATGGGAAGCCATCCCCCAAGGGAATGAAGTACATCACATGGCCAGTCTGGCACCAGGGCTAGGCCTGATCAGACTACAGAGCATGGCCAGGCTCCCACTCTGCCCTAACACCCTACATTCCAGCTCTCAGAGTCAGCCAGAGCTTTGCTTTAACCCAGCAGGGCATTATGCTTTGCATTTTCCTTATTTGTATTCCCTCAGGTGCTTATCTCAACAATAAAGAAGAAAAGATGAGATCAGGCTGCTGGGAGATGGGAAAGAGAGACAGTATTGGATCAGTTTTGCCATTTAGTGGACTGTCACCATCCCCTTAGAGGGATTTCTCTGGGACTGAATGCAAATACAGGGGTTAGAATTTGCCTGGTGGCAGCTGAACACAGTGCATGAGAGAACATGAGAGCAGCAACAGAGGTTATTGCTCTGGCAGGAAGCTGAGTCAGAAAACTTGACTTAACTGCAATAACTCATCAGAAAGGGAGTTAAAACAAGAAAATTGCTCTCAGATTCATCTGCCATGCTGCAGAATGCAGGACTATGTGTGTAATCTTGACACCAAAGAAATTCTGACTTCTAATACAAACAAGTCGGAAGTACTACAAATACTGTCTTAATTGTTATGGCCAAAAGCATCAAAGCTTCTCTAACTTATTCCCACACCAGAATTGAAAACCATTTGAAAAAGACATGAAGCAAAGAAGCTTTGTCCACCAAACATAGGACATCAGAGTTTTCAGTGTTACAGCTAAAAAAAGCATAAATCATTGAATGTTTTTTTTTCCCCCTTTAATGCATTCCAGCTCACAGAAACTGAGTGCTTCTGTCTCAAATAGGCTGAATAATGACTTTGAGTACACTGCTCTGTTTTGTACTCAGGACAGCTTTTTCACTGGCATGCTTCAGAAAGAAGAATGCATTTAAAGTGCAGCTGATAGAAAATTTTTAATTTCTAGGTCACAGCGGAATTCACTGGTCACATCAAAAATGGCATTTTACAGGAAAAAAACATTTTTAAATTCACATTTAGAAGAGGTTCAGCACTAGTATTTGAGACATTTCTTCGTTTAAAAAAAAAGCTCCAAACTTTGAAGAGCTTCTACTTGAAAAATGAATCATTTTCACAGTGTTTCCACATTCCTTATGAGTTTGGAAAAGCTAAGGTTTTCTAGTTCAGCCTCTCAGTTTGTATCAGCTTTTCTTTTAAGCCAATCGTATTTCAGAACTGGACATGCTCTTATTTGGCCAGTTTTCTAGTCTTGGCTTTGCCTGCTGCTTCTGCAAGTGAGTTTGTGTGTAAACTACAGGAAAAACCCAGTCTTGCTCCATTTGTATTCCACAAGTTTGTCAGGCTGGTGGCCAGAAGAGATCATAAGCAGAAAGTTTTTCAAATCCTAAAACTTGGATAGGTATTGAGTGCATCATCATATAGTTATTTTTACCTTATAATAATATTTAAAGGTCTCAGGAATTGTAATTGGCTTTAAAATACTGTGTTTCCTCGATTTTTCTACACATAGAATGTTAATTTTCAGTAATGGTTGAGCTAATAATTTTTTCAATCTCGAACCTTTAAACTTCAGAGATTCATTAGTCTGATTATTCTTGTTTAATCCCTTATTCTCCTTTCCTTTGATTACCATGGTTTCTTTATCAGCCTTACTGGAACTGAGTTTCTTTTTTAAACATTTCTTTGTCCATATCTGAAAAAAAAGGCTTTTAGTCTCTCCTCCTCATGTTTTTGCTGAATTGGTGATTATAAATGATGTATCCGTTCTTTGAAACTCTGTGCAGATGCACAACTCCCACTCAGTAACAACTCCCACTGGGGTTCAATATACCCCAGGACTTCCTACTGCAATCTTTCTTCCTGTTTTGTCTGCCCCTCACTGTTGTTTTTCCACTGGATTGTTGAGGCACCACTTCCTGTTTTAACAGTCAGGCAATCCAAGACAGAGGAATAGGTCAGAGTTTCTTTTCTTATTTTACCAAATTTCCAAATTACCAAATTTCACACACGACCTCTCTTCTTAGGGCAATGAGTACCAGACAAGAAGAAAACCACAGGACACTCAAATACTCCATTTCAAAATGGTATTCAGTACTGAACTGTAGTCATGAGATGTTCCCAACTGACCAGCCACTATTCCCCACCCTCAACTATTACAATGCTTATGCAGCAAAAGCAAATTGGAGGTAAGAATCTGAAGAGAGCAACAACAAACTTGCATCCCAGTCATTTGCAAGAAATGACTGAGTGGCCTTGAAGAACTCTCTCTAAAGTTAAAGCACCTGCAAATCGGCTCAGGAGTCTGAACTGTCTGGGTGGAGGATTCTTTTGGATGTTGCTTCAGGGGGAATTCAAGTATATTTGATAGGGGAAAAAAAAGGCAGGGAAGGAAATTCCAGATAGAGACACAATAAATATGTAGTATATAGTTTGTCACCAACAATATATTGAAACTCCCAAGAACAACTGGTGAAGGAAGCCTGTTGAGAAGCAAATAAACTACAGTCTTCAGAACTGTCATAATTAAGAGACTAAAAATATATCCAAAGCACTAAGGTTCGGAAGCTGTATTTGCCCATAATTCAGTGCAACAGAAGTTGTTTCATCTCTCTTAGAGGACCTGCTTCCAGCAAAAGGAGTAAAGTCCTCTCACCCATTCTTCTCAGTAAGACAAAAGGTTTTAAGGGGGCACAGGCGAGGGATCTTAGTGGCTTAGGGACAGAATCCATGCAGAAAAACTGACAAAAACTAAGATGTGCAAAGCAATCCTACTTCCACATTGCCTTTATATGAGCAACTGCCCTTAAGAATTTTTTGTTTGTTTGTTTGGTTGGTTGGTTTGGGGTTTTTTGTATTGTAGGGCATATGTGGGTGCCAACAAGATCAGCTATGTCCGCTGGAGAGAGATAAATTAACTCCATCTATGACATCATCTCCTTCTCCAAACACTGTATCACCTCTCTAGAATGAGGTGCTATTTTTAGTCTTCTACTTTCAAGCATATGTTGAGACTGCTTCCAAATGCTTTTCTTCTTACCCTTTTCAAGCTTTGCATCTTGGGTGTGGAGCTCTGAAATATTAAATATCAGCAGTCCATATTCCCTTTGCCTAGTACACGTCAGTGAATCCAAGGAGTACCTAAGGAAGTTATTTGCACTAACTGGACACACAAAAGAACATGTGCACACAAGCAGCTGTGATGGTTCCAGCTGTCTAGGATTGACAAACACATACACATCTATGTACACACACTCAAATGGTGAGCACATATTATAGCATAGCAAAGGTCTTCACAACAAGCCTGCAAATTTTTGGTAAAAGAAATAGTATTTTACCTTTTTTCACCACTCTGTACCTGGAAAAGTCACTGGTTTGTATTTAACCTGTTTGGACTTGGAAGACTTTGCTTGTTTGATGAGGTTGGTACTTGCTAGAAGCTTCTCCATGTCTCAGTTTCTTAAAGAAAAATGAAAAGCAGAAAAAAAGTCAGTAATTTACCATGTTAGTAGGATTAATACCTTAATTGTCATGTATTCCCTTTAAAAAGTCTAGCCCATCTCCAAGTGAAATATAGCTGTTTCTAGGGGAAAATATAGCAGCCGCTAGTGCTAGCAGAACCACACTGCAGTCACGGGAAAAGGAGTAAAAACATCCTCTCCTGCTGAAATGGCTGGAGAAATTTCAGGGTCATAGAAGGCAATTGTAGGCTTCCAAAATAGCAGTGACACCAGGGTAATGCCCTTATCTAGTGAAAAGGAACTGATAGAACTACTTCATAAAACTCAGCCAAGTCAGCTGTCTCCAACAGAAACAATTTTGGAACATTTCTTCCCTCAAGATTTATTGACTCCATAAACTGCTCTAAAAAAATTAACAAAGCACAACACACTTGTGTGTTTCAGTCTGTGGATCTGGGTAAAAAATGGTTCTAACATCACATGGTTACTGAATTTTTCTAAGCCAATTTTATAAGCAAACTAATCTCTCCCAAATATCCCCTCCCATAATTCCTCAGTGAAATATGTTTTCCTCTTGCCACTCCACAGTGACAAAGCAGCACTGGTAAGGGGGGGTGTGTGTTTTCTAACCCCCCCATGTCAAGACCATGACTGTGGCAGGAGGAATGTGACTGGCAGCATGGCAGTATCACTGTCATTATACTTAAATATAAGCAAAGACAGGGATTCCGAAGAATAAAAAGCTACCTGGATCCTAACAGCATTGCTCTAATAATGTCTATTAAAACAAAAAATAAACCAAGTTCAATTTAGCTTGGTCAAGAGAAGCGGAAGATGTTGCTTCCACTTGTTGACAGATGTGACAGCACAAACTTTCATTACAAAATTGTGTAGAAATTAGCAAGTTGCAAACTGAGTAAATTGTGTTATGCGGAGAGAAGTCATCTGCAGAGTGAGTAAATACAGAAGAAAATATTTACTATACATAATTTCAGACTTTAAGGAGAATAATCTCCTGACAGCTTGTTTTCAAAGGTTCTAGATTTTAACAGAACAGACAGCCTTCTGAGTGATCACCTGTTTTTTCTCCCCACCCCACCTTCCCTACTCATTTACATGTACAATACCAGAAAACCACAAAGTGCTCAACAATATTGGCATTGTTCTTAACTTCAGTTTAAGAGCAATATAATTCAGTTTATTTCCAAAGCATTTGTAGAGAAATAAATTACTGACTCTATCAGCACTGGCTTTGAATATCTCACTGGCTTCTGTATCCAGTTCAGTGTTTCCAGCCTCTGATTCAATGCAGCCTCTGTGTACATTATCCACTACCATTCTTTCCACCATTCATATTTTTTCCATGCCACTTTGACCAACTATCCTTCTCTTGGCTTTTTATTTTCTTCTCCCTTACTTTCTTTGCTCTCTATGCTTACAACCTTTCCTTTCTTTGTGTGACAAGCAAGCATTATTTCCTTTCTCCTAAACCACTAACAAAAACCATGTCTAAAGATCCAGTGAATTTCTATTAGACATTTCAAAGTATTTTGCTATTCTCTATCCAAGTATAGTGGTAATCCTGTTGCATTATAGTCCATCATCTAGGTCATTCAGGTCCCAAGAAATCAAACCAGAAATTAAATTAGATGCTCATAATTAAAAACCAAAGCTTAAGTGCCAGGCACCTGCAGTTCTGATTGCCTGCAAGATAAATGCTTATTGTGGAGCATTTTGGATAGTGTCACTACTTATCTAGGTGACTAAATATCAGATTCGGATATTTGTTTTGGATGCTGCAATCCTCATTTTTTACTGACTATCCCTATGTTTTTTAATGATTATCCCCATTTGCAGCCCATTACACACTGGCTCACCTGTCTCAATTTCCATTACAAGCTTTCCTGTGTTCCACACAAGGCTTGACATCCTGACACAATCCCTGACAACAAGTTATCACTACCAGTTGTTTGATCTTGGAACTGAAGTAGCACATTACTTCAGCAGTAAATGAATGAATGAATTGTGAGAACAGACTGTCTGCTGACCCATGAAAACAATTTCGCTTTCTTTCAGGCTGACAAGATTTAAATCTTTGGAGACTCAGATTTTCATCTGCTTTTATTTCCAAAATGAATCAAATTACACAGATGTGTGAGCTGGGAGCCACTTTCTAAATATGACATGCCTTCCCTCCCATTAAAAAGATGAGATTCTTTGCAATATTTAAGCACTTGGTGCATAGTCAAAGTTAAGTATTAATTTCCCTATACCATATTCTTATCTTACTTCTTTTCTAAAGGAAATATCTGCTCTATCTTGGGTCTTGGCTGGAGAGTACAATATAGACAGCAAGTGTTGTCTGGGGAAATGATGACCTTCAATGAGCAAAAATCCCTGAACAGTAAGTGAAGTTTAAAAGGTGCTTGTGGGGCATGTGTTTGAAATTAAGATGATTAAACACCTGAGGACTTCAAGAAATTCTTTCTGAATGGTTAAGGAACTACTCCTGTTTCACATCATCTGACAAATTACTGATTAAAAAAACCTTCCAAACTCATAAACTTGTCAATAATAGGAACAAGATGAAGTAGATTTAGTGCAGGTAGCTCAGTGTACAGCTGCAGGGGGAGCTGCAGGTTGAGCTCTGGGTGGTGAGAGCCCCTGGCAAGAGGACATGAACTGGCCACTGTGCCGACCCCTTGCACAACAAAGTGCCTGGGGACCTGTGGCCCATTCAGGTGACCAGACACTCAGAGACACGGCAGGAGCCAATGACTCCAGACTTTTCTGTGAAGACTGTGAGGGCATAAAAACCCAGGGCTTCCTTTGTTCAGGGTCCCTCCTCGGAGGCACCACGCTCAAGCTGTCATTCTGTTATTGCATGAAGATTAAATTATTTTAAGGATCCAGATGTCTGAGCCAAAGCTATGGGAAACTCCGGCTTTAGCCAGTAAGGAAACCTGGTCTGACTGTGTGAGTGTGGGAGGTGTAGGGAGTCAGGCGAGGCACCCCTTGACTCCTTGGAGCCGCCAGCTGCAAAAGGGCTTTGGTCTGAGTGTGACTGACAGAGTAGGTTCTGAATGGTCAGACTGGAAAGTTTCCTTAAGAATAATGACTCCTTCTAATGAAAGCCTTAGCTTCTGTGACACATCCACATTGCTGGCTGCACATATTTGTGAATATATTTTTATCCTGCATTCTTGTACAGAGTGCTTACCAGTCTTCTCTGGACTGCTTGTCATCTTGAAGGAATCTGGGGAAGGGAGGCAGAGTGAAAAACACAGTTCCTAAGTTTAGAATCCAAGACTTAGTTTATGTTTTATTTTAAGTTTATGCAGAGAGAGCACCCTCCATTAAGGCTCACTTTGCTTGGGCATTGAATGCAAATTCAAAATTTATATTTTCACGGTTTGTTTTCCCTTGTGAATTAATGAAGATCCTGATTTACTGCTGCTGAACACATTGACACGGTACAGCTACTTACATGACAACTGCTGAGCTATCAAGACCACCTTATACCTGATCCTAGTATGTCTCATATTTGCATCCCTTGCTATGCCAGGGAACAACCCAGAATTAAGACAGAAAAAGAAAACCAACCAGATCTCCCATTTACTGCTGTAAATACTACTATACTTGGCCTTCCCAGGCCTCATAGGAATGGGTTCTAAATTGCTGTCCCTTGGGTGGTGCAGACTATTGGTGACCAGTCATCTGCATTCCTCAAAAGCTGAAAAAAAAGCATTCTTTGCATACAACATCATGGCTTCATTTACACTTTCTCTGCCTCTTAGAGCAGAGGATATGTATTTTACACATTGGTACATATAAGAAAAGGCCCGAATAAACAAATGTAAACATGTAAAATGTGTATGTGTGAATTCAGGAAAGGAGGGCAGGAACTGGGTTTGAAAGAGAAGGGGTAACTCAGTTTGCAGGCTACCGCTTGCAGGAGCTGCATTTCCTACAAGGAGCAAAACTATTCTCCCCTATCATCCATTCTGAAATTGCATTACAAAGCTGTGTCTTGGACTCATCAGCACTGAAACATGATCCTGGGAAACCAGCACAGAAGCAGATATACAAGGCTTGACTCAGCAATGAAGAGAAAAAAGTAGGGTTTAAGGAAAAAAAAAGGCAACTCTAAATACTTTTCAGTTAAGAGATCAAGGACACATTGTTCATTTGAATAACAAAAACTACATTTCAGCCAAAGCAATGACTGCAGCTTTGAAGAGCCAATAATTAAGGAAAGAAGTATATGATTTGGTAAAAAAGAAACGATGAAAACATTTCTTCTTCCCCTTTTCTTTAAAGGTCATGCTTGCAAAATAGAACAATCAGATAGACTGTTAGTGCAGATATTTAGGAGACAATAAAAGCCAGCTGTGAAAAGTGGAAGAAAATTAAAAACCCAGGAATAAGTAACTAAAAGAGAGAAGGCAGAGGCAAAGAAGGAGAAGGCATATTTGTTGGGTGACAGAGGGCAGATGAGAGTGACTAGAAGTCAAACCTGTGCTTTACTCCATTTTATTATTTTACTTAGGACACTAAGAGCTTTACTATCCAGAAGACAAAGGCATGAACTTTCCTGGCTGTCACTGAGGGATTCAATGCAGGGATATTATCTGTGACGCTTCATTACTCCCAAAAGTTACAGTACAACTAATAGTTGGATATTAGGATTCCTGCAATAATTAATAGATGCCTGCACAGCACTCCAAAAATCTATGTTTATAGGATAAGTATTAATTTCAGCTTACTTCTGTGGGGATGGGTTTCTCCACTTCTTTTTGCTGTCCTTGTGTTTTCTTCACCTACCCGTAAGCACTGGAATGAGAGCCTCCTGGTGGTGGAATCGGCGGCAGTCAAGCAGAAGGAAAGCACAGTTCTTCACAAAGCAGTGAAATGGCTGTTGTTTTATCTCTTGAGTTGGCTGTAATGAAAAGAAGAAACACAGAGAGAAAAAGATGTGTCTGCTGTTTCAATAAAATATAGGTGATGTATATGTAGGATATACATCATAGACTTAGTATGTAGGATACTAAAAGAAGGTATTCATTGCAGAGCACTGAGGCAACAGGAATTACCTCACTACTGAAAAATTTCTTTGGGCAGGGAATTAATTTCAATATGCCAAAAAAATTTAATTTTATAGGTTTCAAAATCAGTCTAATTTAGCCCACCGGGCAATGTAGCAAGTTTCAAGCAGCAATAATTACAACAACTATTCTTTTTCACATCAGAGTAAGCCTAGAGTAAGCCTACTAAACTCACCATTCTGGGGGGGGTCCCTAAAATTATTGATATAACAGAGAACAATAACAATCCCACAGTGTATGCAAAAAAAGGCAAGAGAAACACTATGGAGTTAAAAGCAGCTCTGAGACCACCTAAGCTGTAGATTCTCTATCACTTGTGGACCAAAAAAGCCAAAGAAGATGCTCCAAATTAGGCTACGAAGAACAGCTTGGGTCTATTCCAAAATTTCCACACTGCCATGTGCTGCAGCCCTATCTTCATCCTGTCAATCTCCCAGCCTTCCACCAGCGTTCCCAAAGATGTCTTCATGAGAGCATACACAGCTTCCTTGCACAATGACTGTGATATGCAGTTTCTTCGCCATTTAATGAGCTTTTGCAGGAACTAAGTGATCTCTAGTTATTGTCCCAGCAGAGAGTGTGTGTGCTAGGCATTCACTTCCCCACAAAGCAACAGGCACAAAAGGATGCACAGTGCCATGCCACAATGCTTTTAACATCGTTCAAAATAATACGTCAAACTACCCGCTGACAGGAGAACAATGGCGATACATCGAGAGGCAGTGCTTGAAACAGCAATGGTCAGCTCTTGTCTCAGTATCTACCTGATGTGAGCAGAGAAACAGCTATGAAAAGCTGCTGCCAGAATAGCCCAGGAGGTTAGTGCAGCAAGGAAATTCCACAGCATTTTTCAAGGAAATGGAGTCTGGCAAGAAGTGAAACTTAGTAAAGCCATGCCAAAGAAGAAAGATTCCTTAAGCAAATCACAGCGGAAATCAGACACTGAGCCTCTTTCTCTCAGTCTCCAGGAGAAGCTTTCTGAACTCTTGTTCACAAGCCCTACCAACGGTGAGATTATTCACTCAGGTATTACCCACCACGCACACAGCCATCAGGCACACACAGAAGGAAGCATTCATCCCATGTGCCAAAGTGGTGGGGTTGGCTGCCCGGCCCTTTCCGAGCCTCTGCTCCAGAGAATGAGGCTGTCAGGGAATCACAGTGAGACCCTGGATACATGAGACAGTTTAGTTTTACAGTAACTATAATGTATTCCTTCAATACTCATCCTGCTCAGTGCAAGGAGAACTCAGGCAACAAGTGGGCTGAAACACAGAGGTTTCTTCTAGGAAGGTGAACCTTACTCCCCCTGTGTTATTGGCAGGGCATGTCCTGACCAGAGCTTCTTGATATCTGTCATTTCTCCCCCTCCCGCCCCCACAATAAGAAATCCCTTAAGTATTTACAAAGAAAACATATGTGCCTTTGTCTTTGAGTATCTCAGGGAGATGTATCTCTCACCTGGAGCTCTTCAGGTCTGAGTATTTGTTTCTGAGAAACTCAGAAATTTTCAGTGCTTATAACAAATGGAAAAAACCGAAAGTGAGCGTTAAGATCTCAATCCCTCACAATCCTGTGTGGTCTTTGGCTCTTAAAAGCGCTCAGGATAGCTGCATTTTTTTTCAGTTCAAATTTCTAATTCCACATTCCCTCGGCTTTTCTTCCAAGGCTCTTGCCCTCATTTATCTGGACTTTCATCTTTCTTATCCAGTGTATGCACACATATATGGGCATTAAATGCTGATAGAATCCATGACTACTTCAGAAAGACCTTGCTCAGAATGGCAAGTTTTTATTCTACTTCTAAGGGTGTTGGTTTCCCCCCACACAATATAATTGCTTCTCTTATTGCAAAAATCACTGATTTCCAGTGCACAGACTCTGTTACACTGGGTCAGAAGGCCATTGTTTTTATAACATGTCCTGCAAGAAACAGACATTGCTTAACTGGACTACCAGAAGATAGTGCAGCACCAGAGATTTTTCTTGTCTCTAGATACCAGGTTTAATTGTGCTATCTTTCCAATTTTCATTCCAAGCGAGTCATTTTCTGGTTCACTTCAGGCAGGGTGCCAATTAAGCACTCTGAGAATGAAAGAGTGTTAGATTTTTTTTTCCTGGAGTATTAATACATGTACAAACCAAAGTAAAAGGTTGGTGATTTTCTTCGTCTCTCCTCCTTTTATCTGCCTGCTCCCCCTCCTTTTTTTTTTCTTCTTTTCTTTATTGTTCCCTTTTAACTAAAGTTAGCATCTTAGTATCTCATTAATCTAAAATTCTCAGGAAAGCCCCAGGAAGTCCTCAACAGAAGCTTTTCTAACAATGAAACAAGTAAATTCAGATTACTAAATTCTAACATATCAGAGAATTATTTTATGATTTAGGAATGGCATTTTGCCCCTGCAGTATAAAAAGTACTGGTGATATCTGCTACATACCCCTGCAGTTCATTTAAAATATTACCCAAACCAACTGCCACAGACACCTCCCATGGAATACAAGCCAGCAAGTAACACAATAAAACTAAATGTATTCCATCATGTGCTGAAAAGGGAGGACTTTGCAATGCGTGCAGAAAATCGGGACGCTGGGACTGCTTCAGAGAAAGGCATGTGAGGAGCTGCTGCTGTGAAGTCACTGTGCCTGGAGGTAAGAAAAGACTGGACGTGGCACTTGGTGCCATGGTCTGGTTGACACAATGGAGTTCAGTCACGGGCTGGACTCGATGATCTCAGAGGTCTTTTCCAACCTAATTGATTCTGTGGTTCTGTGTGATCCTTCCCTCTCCAGCTCCTCACCCATCATCCCCTGAACCCACGCAGTCCATGACTCCAGACCTCCTCCGCTTTTTCCCCATGTTCCCAAGCAAGGAGGGGTTCTCTGCCTAATGGCGTATAGGTATTTATCTGAAAAACAAACCACCCCAAACCATTTTAGAAAGTCTTCCAACTGACTCAAGCGTTTTCGGGAGGGAGTGTTAGGGAGAGCGCGGACAGCACACCACAACTTTGAAGCTAGAAGAGCCCCAGTCCCTCCGCGCCGGCCACTCCGCCCCCGTCTCCCCCCACCACGGGAGGCGGAGCGGGCCGGCGGATCCCGTCGCCACGGCAACGCGGCGGCCGCAAACCGCTCCCGGGACACGCGGCGGATCCCACCGGGGACGGACGGGGAGCGCCGGGACCCGGCGCGGCACAGCGGAGAGGTGCGGCCCCCCCGCCACTGAGGCGCAGCCCGATGGAACAGGCCGGCCCAACCGCCCCCGCAGCGCGGGGCTGACCCTACCACTGCTGGGCGGGGGTGTTCCTCATCGGTTCTGCTCTCGCCGAGCTTGTTGCTTTCGCTAGTGAGATGCCGGGAGGGAAAACAGAACAAAGGAGCATCCCGGTGGCGGCCCATGCGGGGAATAACGCCCTGCGGTGCTCCCCTCGCAGCTCCTCGGCGTGCCCGTAGGGTGGTACGGCCCGTGCCCAGCCAGTGCCGGGGGACACCGCGCGGCGCGGGGGATACCGGCCGAGGGGAGGGGGCGCAGGAGGGGAGGGGAGGGGACACAGGTGAGGAGAGGACACAGGTTGGGAGGGGGCACAGGTGAGGGCTGGGGGGGCTGTGACGCTTTGCACCCTCCATCCCCCATCCCGGCTTGTTCACGTGCAGCAGAGGTGCGAGGGAGGGGCCCGTGGAGGGCCGGTGCTACCGGGCAGCGGTGGCGGGTGGGCAGTTTTAGGTACCCACCCAAACCGCCATCTCGGCCTCCCTGAGAGCCAGGGGGACACTGCCTGGGGAGAAAGGGTGTGGGGGCTGGTGTTGGGTGGAAACCGGACAGCATCAGAGGTAGAAAATGGGCGGCCGGAGGAAACTTCGCCCGTGCCAACGCAGCCTCCTTGTCACGTCGGTTCTCCTGTCCCACAGCCTCAGACCAGCCAAGTCCCTCCCGCTCTTTCAGGGAGCCCCGTGCAAGCCTGGCCAGCAGCGCGGGATGCCCCTGTTTGGGAACTCCTTCAGCCCGAAGAAGACCCCCCCTAGGAAATGGGCCTCGCTCACCAACCTGCACTTTGTGAGTCCCACTGCCTGTGGTTTGCTGCAGGTGCGCTTGCTTGGTGACCGGGGTGGGTGGCTCCTGCTGTGAGTACCATCACCCTTACAAGAGCTCACAGCTTGTGGGAGAGGAAAAGGTTCTTCACCCAGAGGGGGTCAGGCACTGGAACAGGCTCCCCAGGGAAGTGGTCATGGCACCAAGCCTGACAGAGTTCAAGAAGCGTTTGGACAACACTGTCAGGCATGTAGTGTGATTCTTGGGGCTGCCCTGTGCAGGAGCAGGAGTTGGACTCGATCCCTGTGGGATCCTTCCAACTCAGGATATTCTCTGATTCTTGCTGTACTGCCCTCTTCCTGCAGTGCAGCACCATTTCTGATCATCATATATGAACTATATGACTATATATGAAACTAGGAATAGCTCAGGGAAGGATCATTGTTACCCCACACGGAATCCAGAACTGTTTCACTGAAAACTTCTCACCAGTGTTCTCCAAGCCCAGGGAGATGAGTGTGTGTTTGGGTGGGAGAAAGGGCAGGGATGGTAGTGAGAGAAGCCGGTTCTCTACTGCAGCAGTACATGACCAAAGCAGGATTCCAGGATCCAGGGCCATTTGGACCAGCATCTTCCATTGGAATGCCAATCACTAAAAAATGGGAGAGCAGGGGTTAGTTTTGGAATTCTATGGAATACTGAGTGTGATCTTCTCCCTGCAGATGGATAGATCCACCCGTGAGGTTGAACTGGGCCTGGAGTATGGCACCCCCTCCATGAACCTTGCTGGCCAGAGCCTGAAGTTTGAAAACGGCCAGTGGGTGTCAGGTAGAGTGCAGCTCAGCTTGTTTTGGTCTGAAGTAGCCACGGTTGGCTGACAATCCATATTTTGACCTCTTTCTTTCCTCCCAGAATCAGGAAGCTTCACGGGGGATCGCAGGGAATTGCAGCGCTTGCGCAAACGAAATCAGCAGCTAGAGGAAGAAAACAACCTCCTTCGGCTGAAAGTGGATATTCTGCTGGACATGGTGAGTCTTCACCCTATTCCTGCCTGCCCATAGCAGTGGAGATGGCCAGGTGAAGGGCCCAAGTGAAGGGTGCTGGGACTGCTGAAGGAGGATGCTCCCACTGCACCTTGCTTTCTGCCTTACTCTGCTGTGCAACACTCATGTAACAGTGAAGTGACTGTGGGAGTAGAGCCTGATCTGGCTCTGTGAGGAGAGGGAAAGGTTCCCCCTGCACCAGAGCTTGTTGTGAATGCTGAAGCTGAAAAGAGGGGAGCCCCTGCAAGTGCCATGTCTCCTCTTTCCCTTTCTGCACAGAGTAGGGCATTTTTCTTGCCACTCTGGCCTCTACCCTAACCATGAAACTGATTTGTAGCCACCCTCTCTGGTCACAGAGGATTAAAGCTTCCATCTGCTGTCACGAGGGGCATGACATCTGTGCTGTGTTTAAACCTGTGGATGAAAGAATTCCCAAGCCCTAAATGAACCACATTCAGCCCTATCTTAAGATCACAACTTTTGTGCTTAAAATCTGGAGAGACTTTCAGTGAAAAAGAACACGTGTATTCTCAGTCTATTAACTGATTTAGCCTTTTTGTCAGTCCGGACAAATACTCGTTCCTTTATTTTTCCTTCCTTACTCTTCACGTTTTGAAACTGGCAAGTGGTTTTTGTGGCTGGAGCACTTAGCAGAAACCCTAGCTGCCGTCCAGGTTTTCTAGGCAATCTCAGTGAAGTGTGGCATGGCAGCTTCCCCTTTGCTCAACAGGAACAAATTCCCTTCTGCAGGTCCTGGCTTGCAGTGGTAAATCTCAGCTGTGCTGTGAACTCAGAGAAGCCTCACAAGCTTTTAGCTCACTCATGTCATCATTTGCTGTGCGTTGCAGCTCTCCGAGACCACCGCTGAGTCCCACCTGATGGAGAAGGAGCTGGAGGAGCTGAAGCAGCACAGCCGGAGGAGGAAGTGAAGAAGAGGTGGCTGGAGAGTGGGGCTGGCTCTGGGTCTTGGCCCACAGGATGCCAGGGCTGGCTTGGGCCTCCCAGCCACATTGATACTGTGTGTAGGTACTTTGTTTCATGAGACCACGAGTGACGAGATGCCTCCAGTGTTGTGCAGTGCCAAGATGCTGCTGATGGGTGGTTTGGCACCACACCACTGTTAAACTTAACATGTTTTTTCTCAGAGCACTTTACCTTGCTGCGTTTCCTCACCGCAGCCCAGCATAGGTACTCTCCTCTCCAAGGCAGCCGGACAAGGGCAGTGGAGAAGATCCCTCTCCACGCGGGCTCCTCCTTGCCTTAAGAAGGCAGGGAAACCCCTGCCCCCTCTAGCCTGTCCCCCCACGGAGAGCCCGCGGAGGGTCGTACAAGCCTCACCGCCTGCCTTGGGCGAGCAGGATGCTGGAGTTGCTCGTTCTCGAGGGTTTTGCATATTTTACATAAAACCTCGCCTTTAAAACCCGGCTGTGTGGGTGTCTGTGTCGGGTCTCGCTGCGCTGGGGGCCGGGCGGGGGGGCGGCCATCGTTCCTCCGCGCCGCCAGGGGCCGCTGCCTCGCCCGGGCCGGGCGGCGAAAGGGCCGCCCCCTTCCGGAGGCGCTGCGCCCGCCGCCCCCTCCGTCCTGTGTGGTGGCGATGGCGGCCGCGGCGTCCCTGTCCCCGGAGGAGCTGCTGCCCAAGGGCGGCGCGGGCAAGGCCGAGGAGCTGGAGGACGAGCTGGAAGAGGAGGAGGAGGACGACGAGGAGGTATCGGGGCGGGCGGCGGGCCGGGCGGGCGCGGTGACCCCGCGGGGCCGGGCGGCGGGGCCTGACGCGCTGTTGCCGCCCGCAGCTGGACGAGACGCTGGCGGAGCGGCTGTGGGGGCTCACGGAAATGTTCCCCGAGAGCGTGCGATCGGCGGCCGGGGCCACGTTCGACCTGTCGCTGATGGTAGCGCAGAAGATGTACAGGTGAGGGGGCGGCGGGAGCCCCTCGGAGCGGGCCCGGCGGGCGCAGCGGGGCGCAGGGCGGCTTTGGCCGCGGGTGGCGCAGTGCGGGGCCGGCAGGCAGCGGCAGGACCGCGCTTTTTGTTTCTGAGCGGCGCGGGAGGGCGGGGGTAGGGGGCCACCCGGAGCTCAGGGGTGGATCTGGGGGAAGGCTTTTGCCCTAGACACAGAAGGGAAGCTTGGGAAGGGAAGCGTGGGAAGGGAAGTGGGTAAGAAGTGGCTAAAGAGCTGATTCTAAATCCTAATGTTCTTTCTCCTTGCTAGAATCTCTAGGGCAGCTCTGTGGATTGGGACCACCTCCTTCATGATTCTGGTTCTTCCTGTCGTCTTTGAAACTGAAAAACTGCAGATGGAGCAACAGCAGCAGCTGCAGCAGCGACAGGTGAGGCAAGAATGGCCCAGCCCTCTCTCCTGGCCCTGCAGAGTCGGCTGGGGGTGCTGGTGCCTCCCGGTGACCAGCTGCTGGGGAGAGGAGTGCACTGTTACACACTGTGGCCTCATCCCTCCAGATTCTCCATCTGGATGTTCCAGTGGGACATTCCTGCCAATTCCCAGCATCAGGCTGATGGCAGTCTCTGGCAAGCACAACCTGGCTTTCTCCAGCTGAGACAGGCCCTGGAATAGCTGAAATAGGGGCTGTGGTCAGGCACTGACCTTGGCTGTGGCACCACCAGTACTCGTGGGAGGGGGGACATGGTGGGTATCCTTCATGTGTCCTTGAAGCCACCCAACCAATTGTTTTCCTTCCAGATCCTCCTTGGACCCAACACAGGGCTCTCAGGGGGAATGCCAGGGGCCCTGCCTCCACTGTCTGGAAAAATCTAAGTTGCGGAAGCTGAGTTGGATTCATATCAAGTGGGAAGACCTCGCGATTATGATATATTGAACTGTTGATTTGTTGGGTCAGGGCATTTTTTCCTTTTGTTTGTTTTTGGTTTTTGTTCTCCGTTGGGACATTGACCTGTTCATAACGAGGGGGGGAAGCCCCTCCTTTGGACCTGATGACGGTTCCTGTCTGCATCCCCCGCTCCTGTAGAAATCATGAGTATTTCCTTTTATTCAATCACTATGCCATAACCAGGTACAGACTTGGACTGGGGGAGCTCCTCTGCCAGCTTCCTTGCCCCTGCCCCCACCAAAACCACCCTGGGGCACAGGTCAGGCTTTGAAAAGCAGCAGAGAACAAATTCTTTTCTGCCTGATTCGGAGCTGAAGGACACCGGTGGCAGGAGGAGTGACTTTCGCAGCAGAGGAAGGAGGGGTGCAGATGGCAATCCATACCCCATGGAAAACACTCTTTGGGAAGATGTGTCTGCAGAAACACTTTCACTGTAGCTCTGTGTGTGTGTGAGAACGGAGGGAGCAGCAGGCCAGGTTTGAGACGATCACATCCACGCAGATTCTCTGCCTCATAAAGTAGAACTTCAGATATCAGCTGCGTATTTTTTTGTATGGAATATTAAATAAATCCGACCTGAGCAGTGTGATTTTAATAGATGTCCTTGAGGGAGGCTCAGTTCTTTCAGAGCTGCTGGGGGCTTTGTGGGTAGGGACCTCATTTTCACACACATTCTGGCAACGGGGAAGGGGCTGACATGGCTCTGTCACCCTCAGAGGGGTGGGGAAGCCTTGCATGGGTTAAGGGAGGTGTCAGGGAGGTGCTCAGCACTAGTGACCGACGGTCAAGGTTCTTAACTCACAGAAAGGTGGTGGTTTTATAACCAAAGAAAAAAATTTATTTATCCTTTACATACTTTGTTACAGAACAATTCAGTTGAACATACAGAGGTGATAGGACATTTATATGGAAACATTTTTTTTTTCCATTTTTAATATTTGGTTAAACAAAATACATCTCTGTAAACAAACCCAAGACAAGGCTCTAACAAAACCAAACAAGCAAAAAAAACAAACAGGGGCTTCCCCACTCCTGAGTGGTGGGACTGGACCAGCTCACCCACCCTTGGGCATGGCAGCCTCACCTCCCGCAGGGGTGTGATCGTACACTCCCTTTACCTGAGCAGCTGGATCACACTGTTTCCCCGCCCTGGGAAAGCAGCTGACGTACAAGGAGAGGAAAGTAGCCCCAAAGTACTTTAAAACATCTTTGCATATTGTGCACTGATCCATTGGCTTGCAGTTTCCATGCAAACAGGGTTTTTCTCCAAAGTGCAACTTATATCAGCACAGAAAACGTTGCTGTTGAGATTTAATTTTTCCCCTCTTGAAGAAATGGCTTCAAGTCAGGAGCAGAATGCCTGCAGGCTGCACATCCTGCCTGGAAAGTGTTTAAAAACTCTGCCAGCTGGTATTGGTCATTGGAATGTGTTACGAAATAGGACTTTTTAAAACGGTAAGAGCCGTTTGCCCTTTACTGTGGGGGGCTGTGCTCAAAGGACTGCAAAACAGTGCTTGCCAGATGTCCAGGGGGCAGTGAACACCATCGTCCCATCCTCATGTGGCCTCTCTGTTGGGAAGGTGCCATTTTGGTGGTCTCGGTTTCAAGCACCCACTCATGCACTTGCAGAGCTCTAAAGAGAAAAATAACTGAGAAAAGATCATTACAAACCCTCCTTTCACCAGCTCAAACATCAGTAATGAGACCTTCCAGCACGATGGAGCAGGATCCTTTGAGCTCCATCAGGTCCCAGAGGTTGCTGTTCCCTCAAAAGAGGGAAGCAAACAGCAGCTCAGACAGGAAGTGCTAAACACAATGAAGTCCATTCCAAATTCAGCATTAACACCTCCTGCTGTGGAAGGCATGGCTGAGCTGCAGCTCGCCTGGGTGACTGGGAACCAGCCAGGATTCCACTTAAGAGTCTTCATGTTTAGTCACTCCCACAGAACACAGGAAAAAGCAATTAATCCATTAATGGAATGTTTGTCAGCCAACGCTAAAGGGGCGATTGGTTCAATTACCAAGCTGGGGTGTCTCTAATGCCTGAGAGTTCTGGTGGACCCTCTGCAGCTCTCACACAAGTGGCTACTGTGAAAGGGCAAAACTGACTGTTAAGAAGGCTTCCCTCCTCAGCCCATTTTTATAACTTGACCTGTTTCTGGCACATTTCACGTGACATTCCTGACTGTGGGCTAGGCTTCTGAAGAGGGAAATAAATGGGAATGAAATTTCTCTTCAGCTTTATTCCTCTCTCCAACCAGCCTCTAAACTACTGAGTGACCATGCAGAAAACCAAAATATGTGTTAAAAAATAAAACAAAATAACTTCCCCCCTCCCCCCACCACCACAGCATGAAGAAACCCAAGCAGACTATGGCTTCTCTCCAGTCCAGAAACTTGATACTCCTCAGCCTGTGCCTGCTGTTTCCATGTCACCTTAGCCAGCCACACGCTGCCAAACAACCGCTCACCACATACATAAATCCCTGGAGACACTGGGGAAGAATCCTCTAGCTACCCGAAGAATTTCTTGGAAGATGACACTGCTTTTATTATTGTTTCCTAATTTCTGGCACAAACCAGCCCTAAGAAGCAGAGGGTCGTGCTGAGCACCGTACCATTCCTAGTGTTTTGAGTGTCCTGAGAGACCCTTAGGAATTGCAAATGTCTTCATGGTGACTTGTTTTGGAGGGAGAGACTTGTGAAGAGATGGCAGCATGCTCGGCCCCTGCTCCTCCCTGGCAAGCCCTGGACAGGGCTGGGCCCCACCATACACAGCCCTGAGCCACGTGGGGAAAGGGAGGCCAGAGGTTTCCAGGCACCCTCGCCCCCAGCCCAGTTTTAAAGAGCACGATGCCTTCCCGCTGGCCAAAGGGCACACAGCTCATCCACCTTGTAATTGAAGTGATTGGCTTCCAGTTTCCTCCACTCTGGCCTTAATTCTTCCCCACCCACCACCCCCAACGTCCTGCGCCATTGCCCTATTGCACCAAGGAAGGAAGAGAAGAGCCTAACAAAGGAAATTCCAGGCAAGAAGAGTCGGGGCACCCATTATCCAGGTTTTAGGACATCAGGAGTTTGGTAAAGGGGAAGAGCTGTAGTGGGAGGACAGAGTCGGTCCAGGTCACACGTCAGCTCTCCAGGTCTGATGTGCTTCCACCTCCTCTGGCACCACCAGTAGGAGTTCACAGTTCTTTCCTCTCAGCTGGTGTTTCAAAAATTTCCTATTGTGAAGAGAAATAGAAATAAGTGCTACTGAATATAGAACTCTATCATCTTCTACAACAACTAAATGCAACCACCTCTGCCCAGAAAACTATCTCAGAATCAGACAGACATTATCTTAATCTCAGAAGAGAGAAGTCTATATAGATGTCACTTTCCAAGGTAGCAAAAATAGAATTAAAACCAAGTTCAATTTCTTCAGATTTCCAAGATCAAGAATCCCACTGTAATTTAAAATAATTCCAACATATCTGGGAACACTTGCAATAAAAAACAGCCCATCATTTAGATGTCCTTATCACAGATCATAGCAGAAGTGTACCACCTGGTCATCTGACATGATTTGTTAGCC